AGTTAAGAGAAGATTCAGAGGTATGCCACCAGACTAGTCCCAGAACTGAGAGGTATGAGCAACGTGGAAAGGCTAAGGGAGGTGAACCTCACGTCCCTGGAAAACAGAAGAGTAAGGGGAGACATGATAACTCCCTACAAAATTCTCAGGGGAACAGACAGGGTGGACAAAACCAAACACTTTAGCATGGGTGGAAGACGAACAAGGGGACACAGGTGTAAACTTAGTACCCAAATGAGCCACAGGGACGTTAGAAAGAGCTTTTTCAGTGTCAGAGTAGTTAACAGATGGAATGCATTAGGAAGTGATGTGGTGGAGGCTGACTCCATACACAGTTTCAAATGTAGATATGATAGAGCTCAGTAAGCTCAGGAACCTGTACACTAGTTGACTGACGGTTGAGAAGCGGGACCAAAGAGCCAGAGCTCAACCCCCGCAAGCACAACTAGGTGAATACACACACACACACAGTGCTGAGGCAGGGTGTAGAAGGGCTGACCAAGCATGAAGGGCATAACACAATACAATGGACCTGTGGAGTGGGTAACACCGAGTAGTGGGGAGGGGGGGGAGGGGTGAGGGGGGGGGTTTTGGTGGCTGAGGAAGGTGGAAGGGGTTAGGAGAGTCTTGAGTGAGGGAGAGGCAGCTAAAAGTGGGAGAGGATGAGGGTGTAAGGTATTTACACTGGGAGTTGTGGAAGAGGCTCTCTCCTCCTCTCTTCCTTCACTAAACCCCCCCCCCCCCCACTTCCCCTCCCACCTTATCCCCCCCTCCCCTCCTTAACACAACCCCACACGTCTCGGACCAACAAGGCAGTTCACATTACAAGTGAGTTTCGCAAAACACTAATATTAATATATTTTAATATTTTACAAATTAAAAACAAGATGTTCATATTTATTACATAGCTTTAATAATTAACTTTTACTGGGTAAACAAGGTGTTGATATCTCCATATTTACACAGCGGAGGGCGGGTTTTAATTAGTAATCTCGCAGAGGGAAAACATTTGAGCCAACAGGGAAGACGAGTATTGGTGGCGTGTGCCGTGGGAGCTGTTATATACGTGTTGGGTCTATACTGAACTATGGCGTTCTCTCTCTCCCTTTCTCTCCTCTCTTTTTGTTCTCCAGGAAGTATGAACCTTCCTTCCCTTCTTACTTTCCCCTCTCCCCTCTCTCCCTCCCTCCCGCCGACCACAACAGGCGGGACTGCCACAATGGTTCGGCTTCATAAAGAAGAATGAACAACACAGCGCCAGGCGGACAATACACAAGCCACGACACTAATATCAGCCGGACTATAACGCGCGCGCTCACAACGCCATCTATTGATTGATATCTATACCATACCCAACACCACCTATCGATTGATATTTACACCATGACCTACCTACCATACGATGATTTCGGGGCTCAACGTCACCGCGACCCGGTCCCCGACCAGGCCTCCTGGTTGCTGGGCTGATCAACCAGGCTGTTGGACGCGGCTGCTCGCAGCCTGACGTATGAATCACAACCTTGTTGATCAGGTATCCTTTGGAGGTGTTTATCCAGTTCTCTCTTGAACACTGTGAGGGGTGGGCCAGTTATGTCCCTTATGTGTAGTGGAAGCGTCTTGAACAGTCTCGGGCCTCTGATGTTGATAGTTCTCTCTTGAACACTGTGAGGGGTCGGCCAGTTATGCCCCTTATGTGTAGTGGAAGCGTGTTGAACAGTCTCGGGCCTCTGATGTTGATAGTTCTCTCTTGAACACTGTGAGGGGTCGGCCAGTTATGCCCCTTATGTGTAGTGGAAGCGTGTTGAACAGTCTCGGGCCTCTGATGTTGATAGTTCTCTCTTGAACACTGTGAGGGGTCGGCCAGTTATGTCCCTTATGTGTAGTGGAAGCGTGTTGAACAGTCTCGGGCCTCTGATGTTGATAGTTCTCTCTTGAACACTGTGAGGGGTCGGCCAGTTATGTCCCTTATGTGTAGTGGAAGCGTGTTGAACAGTCTCGGGCCTCTGATGTTGATAGTTCTCTCTTGAACACTGTGAGGGGTCGGCCAGTTATGTCCCTTATGTGTAGTGGAAGCGTGTTGAACAGTCTCGGGCCTCTGATGTTGATAGTTCTCTCTTGAACACTGTGAGGGGTCGGCCAGTTATGTCCCTTATGTGTAGTGGAAGCGTGTTGAACAGTCTCGGGCCTCTGATGTTGATAGTTCTCTCTTGAACACTGTGAGGGGTCGGCCAGTTATGTCCCTTATGTGTAGTGGAAGCGTGTTGAACAGTCTCGGGCCTCTGATGTTGATAGTTCTCTCTTGAACACTGTGAGGGGTCGGCCAGTTATGGCCCTTATGTGTAGTGGAAGCGTGTTGAACAGTCTCGGGCCTCTGATGTTGATAGTTCTCTCTTGAACACTGTGAGGGGTCGGCCAGTTATGTCCCTTATGTGCAGTGGAAGCGTGTTGAACAGTTTCGGGCCTCTGATGTTGATAATTCTCTCTCAGAGTACCTGTTGCACCTCTGCTCTTCAACGGGGGTATTCTGCACATCCTGCCATGCCTCCTGGTCTCATGTGATGTTATTTCTGTGTGCAGGTTTGGGACCAGCCCCTCTAATATTTTCCACGTATAATTTATTATGTATCTCTCCTGCCTGCGCTCTAGAGAACACAGATTTAGGCATTTTAGTCGGTCCCAATAGTTTAGATGTTTTACTGAGTGGATTCTAGCAGTAAAGGATCTCTGCACGCTCTCCAGGTCAGCAATTTCTCCAGCTTTGTCATTGTGCAGCAGTACTCCACTCTAGAGAGCACAAGCGTTTTGAAAAGTATCATCATCGGTATAGCATCTCAAGTGTGAAAGGTTCTTGTTATCCAACCTGCCATTTTTCTTGCAGTTGTGACGGCTACTTTATTGTGTTCTTTAAAGGTAAGGTCTTCCGACATGAGTACACCCAGATCCTTTACATTGCCTTTTCGTTCTATGATATGATTTGGCTGAGTTTTGTACGTGGTTTCCGTTCTTGTATTTTCCTTTTTTCCGTAGCGCATGAACTGGAACTTATCTTCGTTAAACACCATATTATTTTTGTAGCCCATAGAAAGACCTAATTTACATCTGATTGGAGGTTTGCTGTGTCCTCTATGTTGTCTATTCATAAAAATCATAGTGTCTTCTGCAAAGGATGATACCGTACTATAGATTTTGTCCTTGTCTATGTCCGATATGAGAGAGAGTACTGGAGCACAGTACTCCGAGGGACTGAGCTCTTCACAGTTGATGATCCATCGTCATCTACTGATGTATATGTACACCATAACCAACGCCAACTGTTGATTCATATCTTCATCTGTAAATTACCATCTATTAATTTATATCTAAAACACTCAACCATCGCCATTCTTTGACAATGTATCTTTAAACATGGGGCAGATAATTATTTTTGTTTACCAACCTGGAGCCAGCAACACTCCTCCATGCTATCTGCCTCTATTGGTATGAGCACCACAACTATTGCCACAAGACTGACTTACCATCTACAAGCTGGTGCCTCCAGAACCCATGTGTGCAGAATGATCCTAACGCGACACTCATTAAGAACATGCAAGATAATACAACAATACTGGAAGCTAAACTTATAGGAGAAAAAAAGATAGGACTTATGTATAGATAATAACGCCATGGCCTCCTTGCCGACACTCAGACCCAGACCTCACCACACATCACCGGATAATGACGTAGCCGCCGTGGCCTCCTGCTTACTAAAGGCACCAGAGCCTTCTTCTTCTTGAGGTTATCTTGAGATGATTTCGGGGCTTTAGTGTCCCCGCGGCCCGGTCCTCGACCAGGCCTCCACCCCCAGGAAGCAGCCCGTGACAGCTGACTAACTCCCAGGTACCTATTTACTGCTAGGTAACAGGGGCATTCAGGGTGAAAGAAACTTTGCCCATTTGTTTCTGCCTCGTGCGGGAATCGAACCCGCGCCACAGAATTACGAGTCCTGCGCGCTATCCACCAGGCTACGAGGCCCCTACCCAATGTTGTTTGTTGTTAAAGATCCAGCTACTGGGAACAAAATGTTCCAAGTAGCACGGGCTATGGTGACCCCGTAGTGGACTTACCTGGCACAGGAGCGGGGCTGTAACTGTCGGCCTTACCTGTCTTTTAACCCTCTGTTTAAAGCCCTATCTCCTTACCCTGTTTCAATCCCCCTACCTCACCTCACCCCATACTTCTTGGACTCATTCACATGTTAATTTAACCAACATTTGTACCTGAAGCACATTACGGGCTATTCATGCCCATGCCACCTCATGGGTAGTTTAATCTTTATCAATCAATCTCATGAATGAAGAAGTCCCATTAACGTGATGTATTTGTTTTTAATTGTAGCTCATGTATTAATGTTTTGCCTGAAGATGTTCCACAAAGGAACGAAACATTGTAGAAAGTTAATTCTTCAATAATTACTAGTGTTTCTTTATCGTGAATTGTGGTAACATGATTGTTGTTCTTAATACTGATATTAAGACAAACAGAAGCATGGAAAGCTGAGACTATATGATCAACAAGGCAAGCAATGCTGTCATATTTAACCGTATATATTATTATATGAGAGAGAGAGAGAGAGAGAGAGAGAGAGAGAGAGAGAGAGAGAGAGAGAGAGAGAGAGAGAGAGAGAGAGAGAGAGAGAGAGAGAGAGAGAGAGAGAGAGAGAGAGAGAGAGAGAGAGAGAGAGAGAGAGAGAGAGAGAGAGAGAGAGAGAGAGAGAGAGAGAGAGAGAGAGAGAGAGGGGAGAGATGAGTGACAGTAACGAGAGAGAGTGGAGACAGGGTGGGAGAGTGCCGTGCTCCTCAGTGAAGTGGCTAATACCTCCCTCACTGGGGCTCACGTCTCTCTCCCTCCCTCCCTCCCTCTCCATCCCCACCCTTCCTCCCTCTCCATCCCCACCCTTCCTCCACCATTGCCTCTCCCTCTACATATGTACTCTTGCATTATGCGCGCCTTCGTGTACTCACCTTAAGTTGCCTTTACGAACCTGTGTAAGGAATCGTTCAGGACCTTGTATACCACATATGTGAGACCAATCCTGGAGTAAGCAGCTCCATCCTGGAGTTCATACCTAGTTAAACCCAAGACAAAGTTAAGAGAAGATTCAGAGGTATGGCACCTGACTAGTCCCGCAACTGAGAGATAAGAGCTACGAGGAACGGCTACGAGACTCCTACGAGAATTAAACCTCACGTTTTTGGAAGGTAGAAGTGATAGGAGAGACATGATCACCACATACAAAATTCTCAGAGGAATTTTACAAGGAAGACAAAAGCAAATCATTTATATGGGTGGGACACGAACAAGGGGAAACTGGTGGAAGCTGAGTACCCACATGAGCCAAAGGAACGTTACATTAGAAAGAACTTTTTCAGTGTCAGAGTAGTTAACAGATGGAATGCATTAGGCAGTGATGTGGTGGAGGCTGACTCCATACACAGTTTCAAATATAGATATGATAGAGCCCAATAGACTCAGGAATCTGTACACAGTTGATTGACAGTTGAGAGGCGGGACCAAAGAGCCAGAGCTCAACCCCCGCAAGCACAACTTAGTAATCTAAGTTGCATCTTGCCTTGCTATTCCGTGTCAATGGTCAGTACAATAGCTTCCATTACTGCAGTACCTCCTTGTATGTCCTGGTAGAGTTCCTTAATGACTTGACCTCAACAACGTCCTCTGGTCCTGCCTCATCTGTGTCTCCAGCTTCCACCCGTGTCCTCTGGTCCTGCCTCATCTGTGTCTCCAGCTTCCACCTGTGTCCTCTGGTCCTGCCTCACCTGTGTCTCCTGCTTCCACCTGTGTCCTCTGGTCCTGCCTCATCTGTGTCTCCAGCTTCCACCCGTGTCCTCTGGTCCTGCCTCATCTGTGTCTCCAGCTTCCACCCGTGTCCTCTGGTCCTGCCTCACCTGTGTCTCCAGCTTCCACCCGTGTCCTCTGGTCCTGCCTCATCTGTGTCTCCAGCTTCCACCGGTGTCCTCTGGTCCTGCCTCATCTGTGTCTCCAGCTTCCACCCGTGTCCTCTGGTCCTGCCTCATCTGTGTCTCCAGCTTCCACCCGTGTCCTCTGGTCCTGCCTCATCTGTGTCTCCAGCTTCCACCCGTGTCCTCTGGTCCTGCCTCATCTGTGTCTCCAGCTTCCACCCGTGTCCTCTGGTCCTGCCTCATCTGTGTCTCCAGCTTCCACCCGTGTCCTCTGGTCCTGCCTCATCTGTGTCTCCAGCTTCCACCCGTGTCCTCTGGTCCTACTGTTTCTTATTGTAAAATTGCCTATTTTTCCAGCAAGTCGCTTGCCTTTAGTATCTTGCACGTTGCGATCATATCCCCACCGGAACGTCTTTCCTCTCGGCTAGATTCTCCACCCCTCCCCACCTCCCTCTGTAATAGGTCCTGTAACCAGTAGCCTCCCCCAGGAGCCGCCCCCCCCTCCAGGAGCCACCCCCAGGAGCCGCCCCCCCCTCCAGGAGCCACCCCCAGGAGCCTCCCCCAGGAGCCTCCCCCAGGAGCTACCCCCAGGAGCCTCCCCCAGGAGCCGCCCCAGGAGCCTCCCCCCAGGAGCCTCCCCCAGGAGCCACCACCAGGATCCTCCCCCAGGAGCCGCCCCCAGGAGCCTCCCCCAGGAGCCACCCCCAGGAGCCTCCCCCAGGAGCCTCCCCCAGGAGCCTCCCCCAGGAGCCCACAAAGAGACTCCGGATCATTGACGAACATTACCTAGATATTTATCTCCTCCCCTGCTCTATTCCCCTTCTCCCCCTTCCATTCTCTCCTCCTCCTCTCCCTTCTCTTACATCTCCCCTCTCTCCCCCTTCCTCCCTTCGTCCTGCCTCTGATTTCCCCTTCTCTCTCCACCCTGTTCTCTAGCATCTAATATTTAAGTGGCCTTTTCCTCCGCCCACTCATTTCCCCTTTCTACTGCTGACGTGTTACTTTCCCCTCGTCCTCTTCGTCCTCGTCGTCTTCGTCGTCCTCTTCGTCCTCGTCCTCGTCGTCCTCCTCGTCCTCCGGAAGGAGTGGCGCCCAACGCCCTCTCTCCAGTTCACTGTATTACCAGATTTTAATAATTTTACTCCCCATTTCCCCTCAAAAGCCTGGCGATGGCAACTTTTCCCTCTTAATTAGCAGTTGATAGTGGCGGGGGGATGTTCTTCCCCCCTCCTAGCTGGCCTCCCCTCACGCACACGCACGCACGCACACACGCACACATACACACACACACACACACACACACACACCACACACACACACACACACACACACACACACACACACACACACACGCAGACACACACACACACACATACGTGTATATACTCAAATAGTCAATGTCCCATCATTTACAAGGAGGCAGACAGGTACAAGGAGGGAGACAGGTACAAGGTGAGAGACAGGTACAAGGTGAGAGACAGGTAGAAGGAGACAGACAGGTAGCAGCACCAACCCCCAGCAGGAGAGGCGAGCACCAAGAGGGCGAGCAGCAGTAACAAGGGAGTGCGTCTCCCAGACCCCAGCACGCCCCACCTGGGAGACCAATTACCTCCGAAGGCTTTCAAACAATCCCGGCTAAACTTTGGCCGCAAGTTATGAATTAAAAGTCTGGGTAGTGAATGGATCCCCCCTTCTACCACGGGGGGCAAGGGGGATTGAGCAGGCGCGCTCCGACGCCGGTAAGGACGAATGGCCGGCTTTATATCCGCTTTATTGTTGCGTTTTGGACTTTATTAGACTTTATTGGACTTTTCTGTACCTTTGTGCTTGGTAAGAGCGAGAGACAGTGGATCGATAGTCTGATACTGGGGTATAAATAGGGGTTTGGAAACAGGCTTGTGTTGATTTGCCGGGCTACATAAGTGACGCAGGATCACCTGGCTTGTTGTTTCTAGCGTAGGTTAGACGTGAATGAGTTAGGGTGAATAGGAGCTGCCTCGTGTGGGCCACTATGCCTTCTGAAAGTGTGCCTATGTTCTCAGTACTAGGAACTCAACGAGGAACAAGGAGACACAGATTAAGAGAGAGAGAGAGAGAGAGAGAGAGAGAGAGAGAGAGAGAGAGAGAGAGAGAGAGAGAGAGAGAGAGAGAGAGAGAGAGAGAGAGAGACAGAGACAGAGACAGAGACAGAGAGAGAGAGAGAGAGAGAGAGAGAGAGAGAGAGAGAGAGAGAGAGAGAGAGAAGAGAGAGAGAACAGAGAGAGAGAGAGAGAGAGAGAGAGAGAGAGAGAGAGAGAGAGAGAGAGAGAGAGAGAGAGAGAGAGAGAGAGAGATAGAGAGAGAGACAGAGACAGAGACAGAGAGAGAGAGAGAGAGAGAGAGAGAGAGAGAGAGAGAGAGAGAGAGAGAGAGAGAGAGAGAGAGAGAGAGAGAGAGAGAGGAACAGTAATCACAGGATGACTCAGCCAACCTGGCCACAAACTAGAGGAACAGAAAGGAACAGAAGAGACACAAGGAGCGGAATTATCCCACACGGAACACGGAACACTTAAGAGCAGATTTGGAATCTAATCATATACGATCAATTGACAAACGTTGACACGGTCGAGGAAGTGCTCTGATTGGCTGAATTCTGTATAACACGGTCGAGGAAGTGCTCTGATTGACTGAATTCTGTATAACACGGTCGAGGAAGTGCTCTGATTGGCTGAATTCTGTATAACACGGTCGAGGAAGTGCTCTGATTGGCTGAATTCTGTATAAATTCATCGTGTTCCATGCTGCGCCTCGAGTGACCATTGTAGACGAGGAAGCCCCATGCACGTCTCCACGAGGACCGTTTTGAATTCTACACTGTACCGCGTGAACGAGCGCAGGAGCCGGGTGGATAACCATTGTTGGTGCACTCTACCGGACCCTCCATGCAACGGACCCTCCATGCAACGGACCCTCCATACAACGGACCCTCCATACAACGGACCCTCCATACAACGGACCCTCCATACAACGGACCCTCCATACAACGGACCCTCCATACAACGGACCCTCCATGCAACGGACCCTCCATACAACGGACCCTCCATACAACGGACCCTCCATACAATGGACCCTCCAAGCAACGACCCTCCATACAACGGACCCTCCATACAACGGACCCTCCATGCAACGGACCCCTCCATACAACGGACCCTCCATACAACGGACCCTCCATACAACGGACCCTCCATGCAACGGAGCCTCCATGCTACCGGTCCAATATGAGAATTAACCGGAGCTATTACCGCTTAACACACCCTCACTGTACTCCCCGCTTAAGCCATTATGCGACAAATTACACGCGGGAAACAAATATGTTTTTTTTTCCCTCAAAAATATCAATATATCTTTTAATCTGGTGAGAGAGGAGAGACAGCGAGGAGGGAGGGGGAACTATCAGGATTGAGCGCTAAGTCATTGTGACTATATAGCACTTGGAAGGGATCAGGATAAGGATTTGAGATGGGACGGGTGGGAAGGAATAGTGTCTAACCACTTGGACGGTCGGGGATTGAACGCCGACTTGCAAGAGGCGAGACTGTCGCTCTATCGTCCAGCTCAAGTGGTTGGGGATAGGGA